ACCCATGTCGGGAATCGAACCCGGGTCTTCGGCGTGACGAGCGAACGCTGTGCTATGCAAAGGCACTTTTCAAACCCAATAAATGTTATAATAAATAAGTGTAGTGTAGTGTTAATAGTTATTAGAATTGAAATAATGTGCAAAAAAGATACTTCACTATTTTCTCTTCTAATGATCCTCTCGCGAGAGAGCAGAGCTTTATGTAAATACATCGCGTACAAAGTCAAGGACGAAAGTAATTAAAGGGCGTTATTCTAAATGATATGACGAGACCTATGATCGAATAGCAGACGTTCAGCGATAAGATGTGTGTTCAGGTCTGATGTTACTTGATGTATGCTGGGTCAGTTTCACAATATTGCTTGTTTTTGTGTTTATGTCAAAAGTCAAGTTTATAGAGAAATCACTAACATTCTACCTCGAAACACTCAAAACAAAAATTGTTCAGGAAGCAGCGCACCCACGAGCCAGTTACAATGACAATGTTAGTTTCTTTTGTTATTTACATATATTTCACGAATAAACAAATACAATATCAAGCTATTTGTACTTAGATGATGTATTTTTTTAAACCTATCTTGATCCATAATTCTTATGAAAATTTGAAAGTGACGCTTTCGTTCACAAAGGGAGATAATTTAGGAATTGTCAAGTTATCTTAAAATTGTCTCATGGAACACGCCAGAAGTTAACGTGAACATACATATAATGCAGCCCTCTTCTATCCTTTTAAATTAAGTAGAGCTAATAAACTGATTTGTCTGATTTTATTTAAATCTTGCTCAGGAGCGAAATATCTGCATTGTCAATGTGTAAAATCTATTCCAGAACGTAGTTCGATGACGCTTGGCTTGTGTGACAGCATTGCTGAGGGTCAGTTAATAGTATTTGTCCGGTGACCCTATCCTTTACGATGATATTATTGTTTGAATGGTCTCAAGTATCTATATTTTGTGAACATAAAACGGGTAAATGTACACTTAAATTTTAAAAAGACCACCATCAATCATTATTTTAAAATAGGTCCATTGAATGCAAAATTCAAAGATTATTGTGGTGAAAATGTCTATTTTTTATTGATCAGTAAATTTCATTCAATAAACAATTTCTGCGAAAATATTTTGGAAAGTGAATTTTGGACAATATTCAAAATATGTTACTTCTTTACGACATTTTAAACCCAAACGAGCTTGGGAACCCATTTTTTACTTGAATATTCAAATCGCCATTCTCTAAAATACGGTACGAAAGTATGTGCTTAACTTTGATCTCAAAATATCAATAAATTGCTATATTTAATGGAATACATCTATGTGGTTAATCACCTGTTTTTAGAGAATGCAATTATTCAATAGACAATATTTAATCACTTGTTAAATATTTCAGTAATATAGATAACCTAGGTGTTGTTTTGAAAACGAAACAAAACACAATTACGTTTGCTAGAAAAGTCATTAACTATACTCTTTATACAAATATACTATAGTATTACGCATATTTGATCACATGTATTTCCTTGTTAATTCAATAAGATTAGATGTCCCTGAGATATCAATAAGGTCACGGTCATTACTATAGAGCCTGCCGACACCTTCCGTTTTAATCCTTCCAAAATTATCGAATAGGTATGTTGTTTCACACTTCTTCGGCATGGACTCGGATAGAAATATATTGTAAACTATCGGCTCCATAGTTATGTGGATCGATGTCGCGATTAAGAATATTTCTAACGTGATATCTTCGATGCATTCTTCGTGTTTTTTCGAAGTATCAATTTGAATCACACAGTTTAACACAATGACATGTCAATCCTTGAACGTAAAGCAGATTATTTGTTTGAAAAATATCTATGGCAAAGTATGCCCGTATCTTGGATGCGTGAGTGAGTGGCGCGTCTTAAATGGAACTAATACATTAAAAGACTAACTCGTTCACCAAAGTGGTAAACGTCTGAGTTTTGCAACGCTGGCGTGTCAAGGGGACACTACTTTGTGGGGTCTTAGACGACTGGGCTACCCGTGCCCTCTCATGAAATAGAAGAAGAAAATATATATGATGTGAATGATATAAATATATAGCAGCATATAGAAACAGTTTTTAGTATCACTATAAAGGTGTTACAAGATAACTAGGTTTACAAAGAAAGTGTTATCCCAAATATAACATTTGTTAAATTTGACCACTTTCTAAATGGCATTTTGAATTCATAGCTTTCGGCCATGGGAGCCGTGCCAGTTTACACGTGTCAGAGGGGTACACAAAGTACCTGATCTAGACTACCAGTTGTCGGACTCTTTGTGGAAGCCTCGGTGGCTGAGTGGGTGAGATCACTGACTTTGTGTGCTGGCGATTAGGTGCCTCACTCTGGCAGCAATACAGGACGGGACTCAACCCTAGACATGCAGAACTAAATGCTGTACTTTACTAAGAAAGTGTTATCCCAAATACAACATTTGTTATATTTTTCTTGTACTTTTTCATCATGAAAAAGTATTTACCTAGTAGTTTCAGAGGCAAAACAAATATCACACGTATCTAATTTATTTTATTCTGGCGCTCGGCATTAAGAGGCTAAAACAAGGACTAGTCGGCTCGGAGTCAGTACATTGTGTCTGAGTGGGGTATTCATGTTAAACTGCGGCATGGTATCTCAGTGAGCTAGCACTATAAATCGGCATCAGTCCGGACTAGTACACGCACACACACACACACACACACACACACACACACACACACACACACACACACACACACACACACGCTATATATAAGTGCAATAATCTTGGACGACGCGACGTTAAACCCCATTTCACCTCACCTTGGCTGGACTTTGGCGCGAGCAAACCAACTCTTCCTTTAGAATATTCTATTATCATAATGACGACATCTATGTGTTCACGTTGTATGGTTCGCAGGGCCTAATATATCGGTACACATTCAGCAGATAGTGTTCTCATCGAGGTATATTATGAACACGTCATGTGGTTTCATTGATATTTCCTTTGACATTACATTTATTGTCAGCATGGTGAATACAAGCTGAATGTTTGACAAAATATATTTTTCATATTTCTGGTATAGTATATACCTTAAACATATTTTAAACGGATTCTTAAAAAAATGAATTAATGACTTCAAGTGATCAAATATGACTCGGCATTATTCCGTCTTTAGATATGACGGCGGTCTGTAAATAATCACGTCTAGACCAGACACCCCCCCCCCCCCCCTCTCTCTCTCTCTCTCTCTCTCTCTCTCTCTCTCTCTCTCTCTCTCTATATATATATATATATATATATATAAAGTTTTGTTTGCTGTTTAACGCCGCACTCACCAATATTCTAGCTATATGACGGCGGTCTCTAAATAATCGTGTTAAGACTAGACAATCCAGTGATTGACATAATGATCATCTATCTGGGCAGTTGGGATACGATGAGTTGCCTCAACCAAGTCAGCGAGCCCGACCACCTTATCACGTTTGTCGCCTCTCAGGACACGCCTAGTCGCCTCTTACGACAATCATGTGTTGCTTAAGACCAATTCTAACCCCTAATGTTCATGGGGCGCGTTTCTCTCTATGTCTCCATAGTAAAGAGTGAAGTTGGAACTGTAGCCTAGTTCACAAATGCACCTCATGCAATTATACGCAGAGTAAGCCCTTCATTTTTCCCACTGACAAGTTACATTAAATCATATAGATATATTGAATATACATATCTCAGATAAATACAGAATTGTTTACACATACATTTTCAGTACAATAAACCTTACTTAATCTTGAATATATAAGGTTGAATTATTACCTAAGTTGCACTATGATAAATCCATTGTACTGATGAAGCCACAGAGGTGTTTATGTGTATATTAAGTTTTCTTTGTTTGTTTGTTGTTCAACGCCGCACTCACCAATATTCCAGCTATATGACGGCGGTCTGTAAATAATCGAGTTTGGACTAGACAATCCAGTGATTGACATCATGAGCATCGATCTACGCAGTTGGGAAACGATGACATGCATCAAACAAGTCAGTGAGCCTGACCACCCTATCCCGTTAGTCGCCTCTTGGGACACGCATCGTTGCCCTAGGGGAAGCATGGGTTGCTGAAGACCTATTCTATCCCGGATCTTCACGAGTGATATATGAGGTAGATCAGGTACGCTACTCAACAGTCTAATAACTGTTTGTATTGATAGATGATCTTATCGTTAGTTATTGTTGTATGGCTTTTGCGTCTATTGAATCAAATGACAGATAAAATCGCGGTTAAAAGAATATAAATAACGGTCAATGCATTGCTATGAAATTGTATCTGACTTGTTAGATTTTAATTGCCTTTTTATCCACATTGACGGTTGCGTGTTATGATCAGAATTTGTGATAAGTTTAACTACATCCTGGGTGAAAAGTCGTTTTTGTTTGTAAGTTATAGAAGCCTTTAAGGGTCATTTATTTGTGTTTGGGTTTCTTCTTGAATATTTCAAGATAATAAGTTCAAATTTCAAGATAATGATCTTGAAATTTCAAGATAATAATTCAGCTGAAATTTAAAGATTTTAAGTTGAAAATACAAGCCCCTGTGGTGATAGCCTACCAAGGTGCAATTAATCTTTCAAAAAATTTCTGAGTGCTTTAATTATTCCTTTCATAAGGGGTCCGTCAAATAGTCAGTATCACATGTTTGGGATCTTGGGATGATTTTAGTTGTTGTTTTTTACTGGCGCTGTAGACCAATGAATATATTCATGAATACTCATAAACGACAGTACAGGAAACTGACTTATAGAAATTGTACGTCTGCTTCCATCACTCCGACAATTTTTCGGCGATGTCCTAAAATAACTATCGTTACTAATTATAACCAAATATAATAAAACTGAATTCCTTACTATAATACTGAACACAAAGAAAAACATAATATACCTTCTTCTTTGCATTATATATATATTTTTTATCAAAACAATTGCTGCATTACATTGTGTTAAGTTTATATTTGGAGCATCACGCAGCACTTGACCTTGACCCCGATTTAGCCAGCTGTCGCATGGAATGATACTGACACATTTCCTTCTCCATCCTCGTTGAATTGACATCATGGGCGTTCGTTCATCTCGACAGCTTCAACAAGAAGAGATCGAGGAAATTCAATGCGAAACTGGATGTAAGTGTCACTCAGGATGTAATAGTACACACGCCGGGCGTAAAGTCGTCTGTTCATTAATAGTAAACAATGTATTAGAGCTAACAACTATACTAAGAGATCGTTTCTGTGCTAATAATTGCAAGTGTTGAGTTAACCGAGGCGAGTGCCATGGGGCAGGTGTAATCACGATGAATACTTCATGTGAAAATTTATTGTTGAAATGTCACATTTAGATAATATCGATATGTTTTCAATGAAACGGAAATATGTCTAAATCAAACGCATAAGGCTATATACTGTCATGGGGATTCGATATGAATTAAGAACTGTTTGGAAATAAAGTCGTTTGTTCCGTCACACAATGTGACTATTGTTGCCGGTCAGCAGCGCGACACAATGTGTAGATCAATATACTGGATCAATCAACCCTTGACATTTCAAAAGACCCAACCACCCACATGTTTAGTTTGGCTGTCTTATTTCCTGAATGCTCTTATTGATAGTCTGTTACACAGCAATATATCAGTTGAGATAATAATTATGATCAAAAGGTTTGAAATCGTAACTCATACCATGGAATGATGTGTATCTATTGTACAGATGATCTATAGACCTGTGAAGATCTGGTTTAGAATAGGTCTTCAGTAACCCATGCTTGTCGTGAGAGGCGATTAACAGGATCAGGTGGTTAGGCTTGCTGACTTGGTTAATGCATGTCATTGTCTCTCAATTTCGTGGATTGATGCTATTGATATCAATCAATGGATTGTCTGGTCCTGACTCGATTATTTACAGACTGCTGTCAAATAGATGAAATATTGCTATGTGCGGCTTTAAACAACAACCAAACAAACAAACATGATCTATTTGACCTGCTTCAGTGATTTGGGTTTTGTGCCATTTTTGCAATATTCCACCAATATCACTGCTGGCAACACCAAAAAAGGCTTTATGCACTGTACCAATGTAGGCCTTCAGAGTTAAGAGTGACCGCTTCATCTGCCCTCTTTGGTGCATATAAGTGAGGGACAATGCCCGATTAAACCTTTCAGCTATTCAGTTTAAGTCAGCATGATCAGTGATAGGTATATTTTAATAATCGTCCATTGTTCGTAAGTGTGTATATAAATGCTGAGCTGATCGATTGATTCTAATCACTAATCACCTGATTACTATTGACTTTTGATCTCCCTTTTATCAGTCCTTTTTTACATCCATTACTCGATGTGTTTCAGTTTCCCATAATCAGATCGTGAGACTATACGGCAGATTTACCAACCTTGATAAGACCAACAATGGGGCACTTAGGTAAGTAACCAGGACGGCCAAGGAGCCATCATTGATGAACCGCACTCACTTGCTCACAGGCCAGATATTTCAGTTTGGGTCAAACCCTGAAGGGGGATAATAAAGATCTTAAATTGATTCCTTACTAAGGTTTACAAAAGTGATAAACTCTTAGGCAACATATTTTTCATTACCTGGTTTACGGATGCGCCGCTCTTTCAAAGTCCTTATGTTGAAAAAAATAAAAATAAAAATTACGCTTTTTTTTATTACCGCCGATCTTTACTTTAAAAAATGCATAAAAAGATCCAAAAAAAATCATTTGCTCCGTGAGTGTAAAGCAAAGGGAAGTCACTCTGATATTTCTCAGTGGGGTCCATCAAAGCTTGTCAACGCCTAGCACAGTGGTGACCAGTTTTACTCTTTCAACACTGTTGGCCAGAAGCTAAGAGTAACCAGACATCGCAGGCTTGTAGACCATCCAAGTCACGTCAAAATAGTATAAATTTTATTAACCTACCTGTCATATCATTCATTTATTAAATCTATCACATTTCACGTCTGAAATATGTATTCCATTTCAATTTATCATTTTTTATCAATAGATTAAAAGATTATTCACTATTTCCCTAAATGTTATTGAAAATATGATTCTTGGACTCACACTTCGACAACTGGTCCTCATAGAACATGTCAAACAGCAAAATAAAGACGTTTCAGGCAAATCTTTAAATATATTATGCAAAGTAATAAATAAAATCAACAAAAATATATCTAAAAGTTGCCAAATTCACATCTAAGTTATTATTTCCATCTTTTTGTGCAATCAAGTGTATTAATGTAAGTCAAATGACATCTCGGCTTTCGTCGCTTCTATTTCTCGGCTCGTACACGATGTTTAATGCCAATATATATGCCTACGAAATCTTTGTCATAGCTTAATACCTAGCACTATAGATCCATGAAGTTCCCTATTTTTAATACCGTATTCGACGTAATATGCGCCCCGCTCTAATAAGCGCCAACGGCGATATTTCTTAATATAATCAGCACCCCTTGTGATTGCTCAATGTACAAAAGATTTATTTATTCGCATATAATACACACTCGTGTGTTATATGCATCCTGAATTATGGGCAATTAAATTCTGGAAAATATATATATGTCGTATATAAACATTTCAGGCTTGTCAGCATTAACCACGACATTTATCTTTCAACTCTGTTTTTTCCACCAAAATAATATTCTAATAAGAGCCCCCTATTTCTAATTTTGAGATGGCCCTGGGCGCCTATTATGCCGAATACGGTATAGATCGCCATTTCCTGCTTAAAACGTTCAGAATAACATGATTTAACCATAACCTTTTCGTCAAAATCTTAAAATTATCATACACGAGGATGGTACCATTGCTGTAATTGGATTTGCTGCCTTAGGTCACATGCTTAAATTTAACCAATCACGAACAGATTTTGTCAAGAAAGCGTCACTAGAAACCAATTTTTACACGCTAAAGCTACGAAAAGACCCCAGTGGATGTCACTTCTGTATTAGCATTATGTTGGTAAAACAATATAAGTTTTTTTATGGCAGCCTTATTCGTACGTGTTATTCATACGTAGCTTCGAAAACGGAGGTATTTCCTCATGTTAGTGAGCGGACAGCCACTTTTATAGGGAAATGGGTGATGACAGATATTATTTGTAATTCTTTTTAAAATAATTTTCCGATTACGTAAACAATGAAACTAAAAAAGAAATAGGTAAGTGATTTTTATAAAATCTTATATTGCCGTTTGCAAATTTGGTCAATGAAAACATGAAATTTACAATAAAACATGACGTGACATGATGATTTACAAATTGAGTGTTATTTGTGTACTGTATGCGAGACAATGTTTCATACACAGAGATTAAGATTACATGTGTACTTGTCTCGTAAAATAAGCCAGAAATAGCAGTCAGCTGTTCACACATTTTCTCCCCCTATGGGTGATTTTGTTCTAAAAATACTTAATGACATGACCAAAATCATAACTGAAAAGAAATTTCAGTACAGTGATAAGAAGACTGAAAAACTTTGTACCTCTAACGACTAATGTTCGTTTCAAGGCAAGTTCATGTTGAGTTCATGTGATTTACCGATCAGTTCATACACGATTTGGCTGAAGTTAATGTAAACAGAAATGAATGAAATCTTGGATAAAAGTAATACACACCAGACACACAGTGAACACTTTTATCGCTAGATAGTGTAATAACAGGACTAACTTGCGTACTTCAGTATGGACTTGTTGACATGCTACTTCAGGTGTTGTATGCACACCATATCGTCTTCACATTGTGATGGATGGGTATTCCAGTACTGTATTCCAGTATTTTACTCATCAAGGAATACATCTATGTAGGGGCACTCTGTCCCAGGTTGATTGTACACAACTGTGTATTTGGTTATATGCTAATTTGAAGGACCGAAAAAAAGGCTGCACGCCCACACTATGTTTTCAAAAGCCAGATGGATTAACCCTTATTATGCTTTCATCGCGTATATTGTTTCACGATTTATCTTGTTTGTTTGTTGTTTAACGCCACCCTCAGCAATATTCCAGCTATATGACGGCAGTCTGTATATAATCGAGTCTTGACATGAGCATCGATTCACACAGTAGTAATATGATGACATGCATCAACCAAGTCAGCGAGCCTGACCACCCGATCCCGTTAGTCGCTTCTTACGACAAGCATAGTTGCTTCTTACTGCAAGAATGGGTTGCTGAAGACATATTCTACCCCAGATCTTCACGTCTACCACGATTTATCCAACAATCAGTGACTTGTTACGTATCTATACCTTGTGCCCAAAATGTGTACAACTGATGTACAGTCAATACCATCTGTCTGTCACATGTAGACATGGTAAAGGTATGTCAACTCTAAGACTGTAATAATCTAACATGAGAGTTGCAGTGAGCAATACAATGGATGCTATACTTTTTCATCTGTAGTATTCTGTACATGATTTTTAACATTTTTTTGCAGCCGGGAGGATTTCTTGAGAATACCAGAATTGGCCATTAACCCTTTGGGAGACAGAATTGTGCATTCCTTCTTCCAAGACAGGTATGCTATCCTTGACACATACTCAGTATGTGTTTTGTTATTGTTGGATTGTGAAGAGTGAGTGAGTGAGTATGGTTTTAAGACCCTTTTAGCAATATTCTGGCAATATCAGGGCAAGGGAAACCAGAAATGGGCTTCACACATTGTACCAATGTGAGCGGTAGAAACTAACAGTTTTCATCCACTAGTCCTTATAATGCTAACATATAGCAAAACCCTTAAAAAGGGCAAATTTTTACTAGTCCCTATGATACCTTACTATTGGGCAGTTTGGAAAGGACTATAGGACTAGTGCCAATTTCTAATGCTGCATGTGGTGATTCGACCCCGGGTCATCGTCAAATTGTTTTATTCATTGCAAACTGAAAGGCCATAGGCCCATAGTTCAACGTATTTACAAGGTATGGGTGTTTCTTCTAACTAACAATGCAGGGTCATCGTCATGACACTAACCACTAGGCTACCCCACCCCCAGAGATTGTGATGATCATTATACCCCGAACTATAAGGGCGGGGGTATATAGTTATGCCAAGGAATTCCACCCAACCTTTCGAGGACATTTTTTTGTGCGACCAAGAACTTGAAAACTACTGCATGGAGTCTTTCCATACTTGGTAAACACTTGCTATGTCAATAGAAGAGGTGCAGTGTAAAGCTTGATTTCAATATTTGGATTTTTTTACTTGTTTGCTTAAGCATATTTTTTCAAATTTAACGAACAGATTTTATACTAATAGAATAGGTGCAGTGCAAAATTTGATTTTGATATGTGAAGTTTCTGAGAAAATATGAATTTTATCATGTTTCGAACTTTGAATGTTTTTTTATTCAACATTTGTGTGACCATTAACTTGAGAACTACATCATGGATTATTTTTAAATTTAAGGAACACTTTCTTTTCTAATAGTAGAGGTACACTGCAAAGTTTGATTTTGATATGTGTATTTCCTGAAAAATATGATATTTTTATGCGTTGAAGTTTGAATTTATTTTACTTCAACATTGGTGCAACCTACAACTTGAAAACTACTTCATGGATTCTTTCCCAGTTAGATGTACAGTTTCTATACCAATAGGAGAGATGCAATACAAAGTTTGATTCGATAAGTCGATTTTGTAAGAAAATATTGCTTTGTTTATGTTTTGAACTCACACGTAATATGTCAAAGTCAGGAGTACTAGTGAGCTCTGCTCACTTTATGCCTTATACTTCAGCTAAGTTATTTATCTGACTCTCTCCAAGAATGTTTATGCAGCGTTAGAAATTGGCACAAGTCCTATAGTCCTTGCTAAGCTGCCCAATGGTAAAGGTATCATAAGGACTAGTAGAAATTTGCCCTTCTTAAGGATTTTGCTATATGTTATCATTATAAGGACTAGTGGCCGAAAACTGTTAGTTTCTAACCCTGATTATGTCAAAACGACTCCATCTATACTTTCATTACGTCAGGTTTATTTCTAATTTGAATATTAACATTTATAACGTGTAGACATAAGACATATGTAACACATGTCATAACAAATACCATGAGACAGGAGTACATCCACCGGTGTGTGATTGGTCTTAATTTCCTCATCTAATATTGCAGGAAATAGATACATGTTGAATTATGTATTCACTGCAAAGGACAATTAATCATAATTTTTTTTGTTACTTATAAAGAATTTGCAATATCAATCTCACAATGTTGATGGGTATTGATGGAAAAAGAATTATAAACCCCTTTGTGATTAGTCATTAAACTGAGTATGTGGAACATGGCATAGTCCACTTCTGTATCAGGTAACCCTGTAGTCATTGGTGCATGAGTTGGAAACTTGTTGTTTTAACAGTGGAGGGGAAATGGGATGTAGGCCAGTGGATTAACCTTGTTGACTTGCAGCATCATACAGCTATTGTCATGGTAACGCTGCTGACTCACTCCCTGCAGACTCATCTTCCTGTGGTATTTGATTAATGTGGAATTCATCTGTTTCTGTGGTTACAGGACTGAGGTCAATTTCCGGCAGTTCATGAATGTGCTGGCCAGGTTCCGCCCATTGAAGACAAACTCAGAACGAAACAAACTGAACACAAGGGAAGAAAAGTTGATGTGTAAGTCCTCCCTCACCCACCCACACATTCACCCACCCATCCATACACCCACCCATCCATACACCCACCCACACATACACCCACCCACACATACACCCACCCACACATTCACCCACCCACACATTCACCCACCCACACATTCACCCACCCATCCATACACCCACCCACACATACACCCACCCACACATACACCCACCCACACATACACCCACCCACACATTCACCCACCCACACATTCACCCACCCATCCATACACCCACCCATCCATACACCCACCCATCCATACACCCACCCACACATACACCCACCCACACATTCACCCAGCCACACATTTACCCAGCCACACATACACCCACCCACACATTCACCCACCCACACATTCACCCACCCACATTCACCCACCCATCCATACACCCACCCATCCATACACCCACCCACACATACACCCACCCACACATTCACCCACCCACACATTCACCCACCCACACATACACCCACCCACACATACACCCACACACACATACACCCACCCACACATTCACCCACCTACACATTCACCCACCCATCCATACACTTGCCCATCCATACACTTGACCATCCATACTTCCACCCATCCATACACCCACCCATCCATACACTTGCCCATCCATACACCCACCCACACATTCACCCACCCATTAATACTCTCACCCATCCATACACCCACCCATCCATACTCTCACCCATCCATACACTTGCCCATCCATACTCCCACCCATCCATACACCCACCCACACATTCATCCACCCATTAATACTCTCACCCATCCATACACCCACCCATCCATACACTTGCCCATCCATACTCTCACCCATCCATACACCCACCAACACATACACCCACCCATCCATACACCCACCCACACATTCACCAACCCATTAATACTCTCACCCATCCATACACCCACCCATCCATACTCTCACCCATCCATACACTTGACCGTCCATACTCCCACCCACCCACACATTCACCCACCCATTAATACTCTCACCCATCCATACACCCACCCATCCATACTCCCACCCATCCATACACCCACCCATCCATACACCCACCCACACATTCACCCACCCATTAATACTCTCACCCATCCATACACCCACCCACACATACACCCACCCATCCATACTCTCACCCATCCATACTCTCACCCATCCATACACCCACCCACACATTCACCAACCCATTAATACTCTCACCCATCCATACACCCACCCATCCATACTCTCACCCATCCATACACTTGACCGTCCATACTCCCACCCACCCACACATTCACCCACCCATTAATACTCTCACCCATCCATACACCCACCCATCCATACTCCCACCCATCCATACACCCACCCATCCATACACCCACCCACACATTCACCCACCCATTAATACTCTCACCCATCCATACACCCACCCACACATACACCCACCCATCCATACTCTCACCCATCCATACACCCACCCACACATTCACCCACCCATCCATACTCTCACCCATCCATACACTTGCCCATCCATACTCCCACCGACACATACACCCACCCATCCATACTCTCACCCATCCGTACTCTCACCCAGCCATACACCCACAAACACATTCACCCACCCATCAATACTCTCACCCATCCATACACCCATCCATACACCCACCCATACACCAACCCATCCATACACCCACAAACACATACACCCACCCATCCATACATCCATCCATCCATCCATACATCCATCAATCCATACACCCACCAATCAACAGACCCACATATCCATATACACACCCATCCAAACACCCACCCATCAATAGACCTACATATCCATATACATACCCATCCATACACATCCATACACCCACCCATCCATACATCCATCCATCCATACATCCACCCATCCATACATCCACCCATCCATACATCCACCAATCCATACACCCACCCATCCATAGACCTACATATCCATATACACACCCATCCATACACCCACCCATCCATACACCCACCCATCCATAGACCTACATATCCATATACACACCCATCCATACACCCACCAATCCATACACCCACCCATCCATAGACCTACATATCCATATACACACCCATCCATACACCCACCCATCCATACACCCACCCATCCATATACACACCCATCCATACACCCACCCATCCATACACCCACCCATCCATATACACACCCATCCATACACCCACCCATCCATACATCCACCCATCCATACATCCACCCATCCATAGACCTACATATCCATATACACACCCATTCATACACCGGCCCTTCAATATTTACTCCATGTTAAATTGACTTTCCTGCTTTCATTCAAACACTGCTTTATCATACCCGCATATTTACCAGACACATAGCCCTGCTTCCTGTACACTAAAAATTTGAAAATGGATGCAAATAAAATACAAAGTACATCCAATGGGGCACTGCATGAATGCTGCTTTTTCATAATTTACTACCATTTAAAAAAATGAATTTAAGAACATAATCATTTAAAAGTTGCAATACACAGTTGAAAGCTTCATGATCTTCTAGTCTAGCCCTTGTAGTTTCAGTTAAAATATTCCTAATCTATTTTTAAGTAACGGCCTCTGAGCATGTCACTTGAGGTAAAGCACTCTCTCCTATTGAGTAAAGGAAGTAAGTGCTTCAAAGCAAAAAATAGGAAAACATTACTGATATGGGAGGGGGCGGTCGGGTAGCCTAGTGGTTAAAGCGTTCGCTCATCACGCCGAAAACCCGGGTTCGATTCCCGACATGGGTACAATGTGTGAAGCCCATTTCTGGTGTCCCCCGCCGTGATATTGCTGGAATATTGCTAAAAGCGGCGTAAAACCATACTCACTCACTCACTCACTGATATGGGAGATTATATTCACTAATTATAGAAGAGGTCCAAAGGCACTCAGTTGCTTGACTTTCAATACAATTTTATTCACCAAATAGTATACACTAAAAATGAAAAAATAAATAAAAATAAAATTTCTGTGAGAATGAAGAATAGAGTGAGTGAGTGAGTGAGTGAATATGGTTTTACGCCGCTTTTAGCAATATTCCAGCAATATCATGGCGGGGGACACCAGTAATGGGCTTCACACATTGTACCCATGTCGGGAATCGAACCCGGGTCTTCGGCGTGACGAGCAAACGCTTTAACCATTAGGCTACCTGACCGCCCCACAGGAATAGAAAACACCTCATTGTTTCCTGTGTGCATGTGAAGAAGTTCTGGAATGATCTGACACTGTTTATTAAGAGACATTTTGGTATCAATGTTATTTTCACTGACTTTGCAATACTACTGGAAATAACAACGGTTATAATTTTTTAACAATAATATCCTATCCGCAAAAAGGTATATATATATATAGTATAAAAAACAATCAACTTAACTTGTATTTTTAAGAAGGATTAAAGACATTGTTTGCTAAAAAGAACAGCTGTACTGCAGGGAGGGGGACTAGGCAGTTTGAGGAAAAATGGCCGAAAGAATTATTGAAATACTTTAATAAGAAATAGTTGCCAGTTATGTATATATATGCATATATATTTATGCTCTGACTAATATATGACCTTGTCCATATGTCAAGAAACACGACTATTTTTCTGTTCATTATAATATATGCTTTCGGTATGGCTGCATCTTAGTCACATACTCTTCATGGATATGTAACATCCTTCTGAAAGGAATAAAAAATTGAAAAAGAAGTGCTTCAACATGTTCAAAGCAGTGCAAAACAACAAAATTTCAAATGTATTTTGGCAGGGAAGGTTCACATACATCTTCAAGAGCAAACATGAGTAAATGTTATATATGATATTACATATTAAATTTGTAGAAGATAAAAAACAAGCAAGGAATAAAGCTGTTTTGTTTGAATAAACATTGTTATGTTTGATATTTGACAATTCTCTGTGACCCCATTTTTTAACCTGGGACTGCTACAATTAAATGTTACGAGTCACACAGGGGAGATAACTAACCATTAGTAACCATTGTCCTGATTCCTCTTATCAAGAATATGACTGAATACGGATAATCCCCACATACTACACATACAGAGATAAACATACTACACATACAGAGATATACATACTACACATACAGAGATATACATACTACACATACAGGGATATACATACTAGTATACTACACATACAGAGATATACATACTACACATACAGAGATATACATACTACACATACAGGGATATACATACTAGTATACTACACATACAGAGATAAACATACTACACATACAGAGATATACATACTACACATACAGAGATATACATACTACACATACAGGGATATACATACTAGTATACTACACATACAGAGATATACACATACAGAGATATACATACTACACATACAGAGATATACATACTACACATACAGAGATATACATACTACACATACAGGGATATACATACTAGTATACTACACATACAGAGATATACATACTACACATACAGAGATATACATACTACACATACAGAGATATACATACTACACATACAGAGATATACATACTACACATACAGGGATATACATACTAGTATACTACACATACAGAGATATACACATACAGGGATATACATACTACACATACAGAGATACTGCATATACAGAGATATACATACTACACATACAGAGATATACATACTACACATACAGAGATACTACACATACAGAGATACTACATATACAGAGATACTACACATACAGAGATACTGCATATACAGAGATACTACACATACAGAGATACTGCATATACAGAGATACTACATATACAGAGATACTGCATATACAGAGATATACATACTACATATACAGAGATACTGCACATACAGAGATACTACACATACAGAGATACTACACATACAGAGATACTACACATACAGAGATACTACACATACAGAGATACTACACATACAGAGATACTACATATACAGAGATACTACACATACAGAGATACTGCACATACAGAGATATACATACTACACATACAGAGATATACATACTACACATACAGAGATATACATACTACATATACAGAGATACTACACATACAGAGATACTGCATATACAGAGATACTACATATACAGAGATACTGCATATACAGAGATATACATACTACATATACAGAGATACTGCACATACAGAGATACTACACATACAGAGATACTACACATACAGAGATACTACACATACAGAGATACTACATATACAGAGATATAGATACTACACATACAGAGATACTGCATATACAGAGATATACATACTACATATACAGAGATACTACACATACAGAGATACTACACATACAGAGATACTACATATACAGAGATACTGCACATACAGAGATACTGCACATACAGATACTGCACATACAGAGATACTACATATACAGAGATACTACACATACAGAGATACTACACATACAGAGATACTACACATACAGAGATACTACACATACAGAGATACTACATATACAGAGATATAGATACTACACATACAGAGATACTGCACATACAGAGATACTACACATACAGAGATACTACACATACAGAGATACTGCACATACAGAGATACTACACATACAGAGATACTACATATACAGAGATATAGATACTACACATACAGAGATACTACATATACAGAGATACTACACATACAGAGATACTACACATACAGAGATACTACACATACAGAGATACTACATATACAGAGATATAGATACTACACATACAGAGATACTGCACATACAGAGATACTACATATACAGAGATACTGCACATACAGAGATACTACATATACAGAGATACTGCACATACAGAGATACTGCACATACAGATACTGCACATACAGAGATACTACATATACAGAGATACTACACATACAGAGATACTACACATACAGAGATACTACACATACAGAGATACTACATATACAGAGATATAGATACTACACATACAGAGATACTGCACATACAGAGATACTACACATACAGAGATACTACACATACAGAGATACTACATATACAGAGATATAGATACTACACATACAGAGATACTACATATACAGAGATACTACACATACAGATACTACACATACAGAGATACTACATATACAGAGATACTACACATACAGAGATACTACACATACAGAGATACTACACATACAGAGATACTACATATAAAGAGATATAGATACTACACATACAGAGATACTACATATACAGAGATACTACACATACAGATACTACACATACAGAGATACTACATATACAGAGATACTACACATACAGAGATACTACACATACAGAGATACTACACATACAGAGATACTACATATACAGAGATATAGATACTACACATACAGAGATACTGCACATACAGAGATACTACACATACAGAGATACTACATATAAAGAGATATAGATACTACACATACAGAGATACTACATATACAGAGATACTACACATACAGATACTACACATACAGAGATACTACATATACAGAGATACTACACATACAGAGATACTACACATACAGAGATACTACACATACAGAGATACTACACATACAGAGATACTACATATACAGAGATATAGATACTACACATACAGAGATACTGCACATACAGAGATACTACATATACAGAGATACTGCACATACAGAGATACTACACTGATGCAAGAGGACATATGTCATGTAATCCTTCTTTACTCCCCAGGGTGTTGAGAATGATAACTGAAATGCGAACGGATCCACTCGTCGGAAACAAATAAAACTGCATTTGAGCAGATACTAGTACCTGGATACCGGCGGTATATAAATATATAATATTATAATCCTTACACAAATAGGGTCATCAATTCTACATCAGCTTAGGGTTGTATTATTCTCATTGGCACTGTGACGACATTCCATGTGGGTTATTGTAGTTTTTTTTTATTTTTGTGTACAGTTGCTTTTAAGATGTATGATCTGGACGGAGACGACAGAATCTCCAAGGATGAGCTGCTGTCTGTTCTGCACATGATGGTGGGCGCCAACATTTCAGAAGAACAGGTGAGGTCTCTCTGATAATACTCTTCAGCTATGTTCATTAGGGCTGTTACGATTCACTCGCATATTCAGTCAATCGAACCGTATCCATTCATGAATTGAATTTGTTATTCGTGGCCACTAGAATCGAATATTTATGAATATGCAAGCATGTGCATTTACATAAAAATACCCATTAGAACATATCATATGCATAGATTTCTTCAAAAGACTACACTCTTATACTATTTAGTTTGACAGTACTGTGGTCAATGATCATTGTCGCATTTGAGCAGATACTAGTACCTGGATAAGTGCGTTATATAAATGTACAATATATGAATAATAAACAAACCATGTCAAATAATTTATGTTGTTATTGCTTCACTGAATATAACAAAGAAGGCCAGGCGTTTTATGTTTTTCGGATTACCAACCTGACGACTCTAATTCTTAAGAAAATGTATAAAAAAAGAGAGTCAGATTTCCATTTGTTGTCCGTGTTGTAAGTGGTAGAATTTTTATTTTTACAAGGGGCTTTATCGTCACAAATGGTGGTCTTTTGAGCACAGAATATGTTCATAAAGTATGCCACAGGCATTCTGCATATAAAAAAAAGATGCATCTGGCTCCTTTTTTCCCCCCCTCCAACTCTGGGCTTTGGGCTGAAAAACCGTAATCCTATATTAAAAAAAGCCTGGCCTAATAAATCACAGCTGCTGACTTGTTATTGTATTCGTGAATTAATAATCGTATTCGTTACCCTATATTGTGATATGAATCATATTCGCCTCATAGTGTATTCGTTGCAGCCCTAGGAACATCATAAGGCTTTCACCAAATTCATCTTACTGAGGCAGGGCATTAACGGTAGTGGTGTGACGATACACCGATACATCGATGGATCGCGATGTTTTACTTCTCAATACAAGTATTGATCACAGTGGCACACTAAGTAAAAAATATCGATTCTGACCTTAAATGTTTGCTTTAATAACTGTTCCACTAAACACCAATCAGTAGTGCAAGTTAATAGTGAAAACATAAATATTTTCATTTGTTGTGCCATACGATATGTAAATCGTCAGCGTATTTGGCCATCCTGTCTATGAAAAAGATAGCTTACGCACCACAGATAAGAGCACATGCAAGTATTGTGATACATATTGGATCATGTGTAAGGTATCGTGATACATATCGGATCTCACAGTTGGTGTATCATCCCAGCCCTAGTTAACTGACTAAAAAAGTCTAGTTTCCACCCTTGCCGAACTAGGCTGGTATTATGGAGTTACATTTTGGCTGGACTAACGAGTCTATGCATAGTCCAATCAAAGGGTGGAAACTGGACTTTTAAAGTCCGTTAACTCTCTTGACTCGGGAAGATGACTATTTACTGACATATTTCTGATTGTCAAACATTCAACAGCCATTCATATTAACATTCTATTCTGCATTGCAGTTAAGCAGCATTGCCGACCGAACAATCGTGGAGGTGGATGAGGACAAAGACACGATGATATCTTTCCAGGAGTTTGTGAAGGTGAGGCAAGGTCGTGCTCTGAGTACAGAAGTGTTTGTTTGTTTGTTTGTTTGTTTAATGCTGCACTCAGCAATATTCCAGCTATATGATGACAGTAAATAATTGAGTCTGGGCCAGTCAATCCAGTGATTGACATCATGAGCATCGATCCACGTCATTGGGATACGATGACATGCATCAACCAGGACAGAGAACCTGACCACACGATCCTGTTAGTTGCCTCTTATAACAAGCATAGTCGCCTTTTACGGCAAGCATGCGTTGCTGAAGCAGATGTTGAGCAGTCCCGATATTAATTTTGTATTTGGAACAAATAAGACTGTGTCATGTTTTCAGGGCCCCATAATCTCTCCTGGCCAACCACCCCTATAAGAAACGGGAGGTCCCGAATTTTAAGGATGATCTAGTATGTAGGCATTGTTTTGTGTTTGCCTGCTGCAGTGTTTGAAATTAAGCATGAAAGTCAAGGATTCCTGGTCTTAACACAAATGGTAAAATTTTAGGGGGTCCCTAGTTTCTAATAGCAACAGACCTTAAAGACCCCAGAACCCCCTTAATTTTGAACAAATCAATCATGGCTAGTGAAGATACATCTGCAGGACCCAGTCGTCTAAGGCGCTTAATTCACTGTGCTTCAATTCACTGGCTTTGCCAGAAACCTATGATTGTGTGTTTGCCCTGATTATGTTTCTAGGTTTGTCATACCTGTGCTTGTGGGTTTCACCAAAGTTGTAAACATCTAAGACCTGCATCACTTCAGGCTTTCCTCCCACACTAAGCTGACATGCCATGATATAACTGGAATATTGTTAAAAGTGGCGCAAAACCAAACTCACTCACTCACATCTGCAGGAATAACCCTTTCTGGTGGTTGATCTGGTGTGTGTCTTCATACTGCTACATTGTGTGGATCAGTGCCCAAAATCAACCACTGATACCCCTTTGGGATGCTTAGTAAGAATAGGTCATGGGCCTCGTCCCTTGTACTGAAATGAGGATCAGGTGTTTGCCCTTGCTGATCTTTGCTTGTTCTGTGATATGATCCTTTGTGGGTCCCCAGCTCCCTATTGCTTGGCACAGGAGGTGCTTAGACTCCCTAGAGTGGATCAGGTAGCAGGTGCAGTGACTTTGTTGATTGAGTGTCATTGTATCCCATCAGCATGGGATGGTGCTCATGATATCAACCCATGGTTTGATTTAGAGATCACTGTGAAATAGCTGAAATATTGCTAGCTGTAGCATTTAAAAAAAGTTAATCTTTAGGGAAACACTTAATTTATAATTACTAGGTTAAATGGTTATTTGCCTGAATTGGTGTATTTATCAGTCTGTCATTGTCAGCAAATGTTTCCAAATGTAAAAACATATGCATGAAAATTTCATTAATTAATTTTCTTAAGCCAGTTATTTTGGAACTAAATATGAAATTTTGCGTCAAAGGAAGTTATGCTTCAAATGTTATCCTTATCAGCACAGTTACCATGGTAACATACAGAGAATCTTACACCTCATCCTTGACTTGCAGGCAATGGAGCGCGTTGACGTAGAACAGAAGATGAGCATCCGGTTCCTTCATTAACTACCAGAACTGAAGCAGAGACTTCAGAGAACAGGATGACCAACAGCTACCATGACAACAGCCATCCATACAGGACTTAACACTTAATACTTATAGACCATATCCACAGATTCAGTTGTTTCCATGACAACAGTCATGAACTGATATTGAGACACTAACACAACTAACTTGTGAGGCGTTTGTAATGACAAAGCATAAGCGGAATGATGCAGTCAGATGATTTAGTTACGTATTGTTGAGGAATAACGGGTAACAGTTGAAGGATATCAAGTACATATAGTTTTACAGTTCACTCTCGTTAGAACTTAAATGAAAGAATTGAGAGTTGTATTATATTTATAGAGAAATATTCAGTTACTAAGGAATTGATTTTTAACAAATTTAGTCAGTTACCGCGTCTCTTACTATTTTGGCATTTGTAGACAGACACATAGGTCGTTCACTGAGATCAAACAGTTGAATACTATATTTTATTACATTCCATCTGATTTGCTTTTTAATCATTTCATAACCGTTGTTATCATTGTAATATGATCTTCAGGGTAAAAGGCATATTTTTTTATCCTTAGGCATCCGTATCATGCTAGCTTGGTATTTCTTTTTTAAAACAATCGTAATTCTGCGCCCTGGTTAACCTACTTTATCAATTTAAGAAACATCAACTTTCCCACCCATACTTAAAAAATATTGCCTTGAATGCAATTTGTTTTTTGTATTAGTTTGATGTTTCGGTTTCATACACCATAAAAGTATTTTTATCTTTGATATTGTGTGTATCTTTTGTAAATTTCTGACCTGCAATAACATCTAGGATGTTACGTTGGATTCAAGTCTATTGGGCAAAGAATATGATACCAGTCTAGAGTGTCTGCATTGTAAGATTGACAACGTTTAACTCATTATGCTTTGTGTAGAATGTGAAATGGTTATGGGCTATATTCCTTCTATAGTCAGTAGTTTTTGACTTGACATGTTTGAGCTTTTTGCTTTTATCTGTACCAGTTACATAAAGTTTATTTGGGAAATGAACATATTTCTTCCGGCCCTTGGGCTTGTGATCGTCCTATGATCCTGGGTTCAAATCCAAGCCGATTCTCCCATATTACGATCCCTGGTTTGTCAGGACCAAACTCGTGCTCGTGGGCTTCACCAAAGTAATAAGGAGGCACGGGTGGCCCAGTCGTCTGGGGCGCCGCAATTCGCTGTGCAGAGTTGCGTCCCTTGGACACGCCAGAAACCTATGGTTGTGGGTTCGAATCCCGGTTCGCCCCGATTATGTTTCGAGGTTTGTCAGCACCATACCCGTGCTCGTGGGTTTCACCGAAGTGATAAACGTCTGGGACCTGAATCACTTCGGGCTTTCCTCCCACATTAAGCTGGCACACCATGATATAACTGTTAAAAGTGGCGTTAAACCCAACTCACTCACACTCACCAAAGTGATAAAATCTAAGACCTACATTATATTGCTTCTGACTTTTCCCCCAAATGAAGCTGTCGGGCCATGATACAACAGAAATACTGTTCAAAGTAGATTTAAACACAACTTACTCACTGACAAATTACAGTTGATCAGATCAGATCAGTTAAATGTTTGAATCGACCCGTGAAGATCCAGAGTAGTACAGGTCTTCAGCAACCCATGGTTGCCGTAAAAGGCGACTGTGCTTGTCGTAGGAGGCGACTAACGGGATCAGGTGGTCAGGCTCGCTGACTTGGTTGATGCATGTCATTGTATCCAAATTGCGTGGATCGATGCTCGTGATATCAATCACTGGATTGTCTGGCCCAGACTCGATTATTTACAGACCGCCGTCATATAGCTAGAATATTGCTGAGTGCGGAGTTAAACAACAAACAAACAAACAAAATGTTTGAATCACACCACTTGGAACACAGTCTACTTAAATTTAACGCCTTCATCCCATCAATGTCAAATCCATCCCTTGGTCAGTAATGTAGGATTGCAGTATAGAACCAACTTGGTTCATAACGAGTGTATCTATTCATGATCATCATCTATTCATGACCATGATGAGAATCATGAATACATTAGCAGCTTCATTTGACAGAGGGCCAATGTAAAGTTATGGCCTTGTTTATGAAGACATCAAGGATAGTTTATACATGTCATATGCAAGATCTTCAAAATACCAGTGTCTTTTCACTGGCTGTACACAATACCAATGTCTTGATTTTCCACTGGAACGCTGAGACAGTAACCATGGTAACAACAGTGTCTCCTTCCCAATGGCTCCTTGGAATGTCTCCAGGATTCTGAATGACGATGAGTGGAGCTGTTATTTCCAGGCATTAGAACTGTTGGGTACTATGTGTGTATGTTTAATCAACAGCTTGCCTTCCTCTAGTAATACAACGTGTAATGGTGCTATTCTGCAACGTGTTTGTGATGTTCGTATTTAGCACGCGGCAGTGAGATATGCACTTTTAAGGGACTTTCTTGACATGGGCTAGGATCACATCAAGTTCGATATAATTTTTTCTGGACAGCCAATATGTGTGGCCTTTTCAGTTACTTTGTAAACATATCACATCATATCATGGCAGATTGGAGTACAAGAGCTGTTTCGAGGAGTGAGAATATTCCGCAGATCCATGAATATCCACAAATTTTAGTGACCAAAATTTTGTTAAAGTCTTATGGTTTCCCCCTAAACACCCCCAATTTATGGACCATGCTCCATTGCAAATAGGTTTCAGCTGAAAAGGGAAATATCCATTTCCATCCCAGTGTTACATTATAGCATCAGAAACGAAATGACAAAGAACACAGTACTAACGCAGATGGCTTTGTTTGAATTTCTAACACTGACACCCACAGCTGACTCCCATTGAAGTACTAAAACTTTGCCTACTAATCCTTCTGGACCGGCTTGAACTGTTAATGTTAAGAAACTGTGATACTTTAATGAATGTGATTAGCAGTGTTATTTTGACAGTCTTTATCTTTTCATCACCTACATAATATTAACCTGTAAACCAAATGCAGAACGAAGGCTTGATTATTACGTTTGGCTAGTTTATCAGTTTTCATGAGTGTTTTGTGCAATTTGAGCCAAGCTGATTGTCAGATGTAGGTAAAAATATAGTAACAATTGTCTTTGCTCATCTCCACATGTTAAACAAATCAATCTATTTTCACATTGTTTTGCCTTGATTTTGACTTAAATGGGTTACGAGTCCACGACTTGAAAGTAACAGAAAAGAAAAAAACTATTTGTGTGTCATATGAACATGTCATTTGTCAACTTTCATGACGGTCTTAGAAATGTTATTGATCCATGCAAGGGCTGGTCTGGGAGAGTACAGACAGGTGCTAGTCTAAAGGTAAGGTTAACAAATGCATGCACAGTTCTTCAGACCACCAGATAGTTTATCAATCAGAGCTACAGATAAACTCGTATTTGCGTAAAATACCACCTCAAAATATTCAAAACCCAATTACTTTAATTAACTTGGGTACAGAAGTACATGTAGTAAATGAAAAACTCAAATTATAAAATCAGCACGCGTAAATACCCAATGAAGCTTTTACAGCATGCGTACAACAGAGCTAATTTCCAAAAAACACAATTACGAGTAATTTACTTTCCAGCCAAGCCTATATATTTAGAACAGTTATATACATCTAAAACATTATTTCATTTATTTTTAAATCTTAAAATGTTCACTAATTGTGGGAAAAACCCAATAGAGTGATGAAATATTGGTTACCCAATGAAAAATGTAATAACCCAATTAAAATACCTTAGAGTAAAATCTCAATTGCTCAAAAAGTTATCTGCAGCTCTGATTAATGTTTCCACTTCTCTCATATCAATGTTTCCACTTCTCTCATATCACGAAAGCCATGTAGTTACACAGCTGTACAGCCTTATGTTTAGAAATCCCTTTTTTTCAATGCTTGAACATCGGATCATGAATGCAACCAATGCTCTATCCAATGCACTGACTGTGACATAACTTTTATTCTTGAAATTACTATGATATATTACATTGAATGTCTATTTTTGATTAATTGTTAATAAAATATACATGTATATATTATTATTGTGGTGATGTTTTCTGTTCGTTTGCAGTGTTCATTAAGAAAAGGGGCGGTCGGGTAGCCTAGTGGTTAAAGCATTCGCTCGTCACGCCGGAGACCCAGGTTCGATTCCCGACATAGGTACAATATGTGAAGCCCATTTCTGGTGTCCCCCGCCATGATATTGCTGAAATATTGCTAAAAGCGGCATAAAACAATACTCACTCACTCACTCACTCACTCCCATTGTGAAACACTCCTTATATGGAGTGAGTGAGTGAGTAGATGCTTTACGTCAACCGGACTTGATAGGGCTGTAAGTATAGTGAGGTTTACAAAGGGAACCGGATTTGAAGATTTTATTGGAGGAACTGCTTAGTTATTCTTTTAACACAACTCCAAAGGTTTTGGTTGAAAACGTAAAACCGCAATCTTGAGGTTTTACATTTTGAAAGAAGTACCAGAAAGAATAAGAAAATATCGGAATGCCTCCGAGGGAAACAATACAGTAGTCTCAGTATAAAACAAATTTGATGGCAGCAGGCGAGAGAAAGACCACATGCAGCATGCAGACAACTGAAGTCATGACATGCAAGATTGAACACCTTTTCATCACCTGCTCGGATGGCTCATTGGGAAATCAGTGGGTTACAGTAATAAACATGTGAGTTTGTAAGCTCGATTCATGTCATGGAATTTGCATGTGAACAATATCGTGAGTTTTAGACAGTCAAAAATCGACATCAGATGCATATTAAAGGCTGTTCATACAAATCAAACATAACGTCTCCAAGCAGGTCTCACTTGAAAGTAGTACCACACAAGGTAACTATGAGATACAATACTTTAGGCACAATCTCAAGCAGAGCTACAGATAAACAACGTATTTGCTTAAAATACCACGCCCACCCCACCCCCAAATATTCAAAACCCAATTACTTTCAATTAACTTGCGTACAGAAACGCATGCATTAAATGAAAAACTCAAATGTATAAAACAACTCACATAAGTACCCAATGAAGCTTTTTCAGCGTACAAAGGAGCTACCGGTCATTTCCAAAACAGTTATAGGGTTAATTTACATTCCAAGTCAAGCCTATATATTAAGAACAGTTATATACATCTGGAACATTATTTCATTTTTTTTAAATCTTAAAATGTTCACTAATTTGGGGAAAAACCCATTAGTGTGATGAAAAGATGAGTGAAAAGATATTGGTTACCCAACGTAAAATGTAATAACCCAATTATAATAGAAACCCTAGAGTAAAATCTCAATTGCTCAAAAAGTTATCTGGAGCTCTGTCAGCAGGTTTATAAATAGGTTACATTCAAATGAGAAAGGTCAAGCCAACAGGTGGAGATTGTGAGGTTTCCAAGTTTAGTACAATGCTATTGGAGCTATACCCACTAAAATATGTCAGCTTATTAAAGAAAACAGTTTTTGTGATGTATGAGTGGAATGTGTGGAGGAATTAAGTCATGGGACTGTAGATTTGATCCAGTGTTGAGAGACATATGAGTTAGTATACACTTTTACCAACCCAAAATTTCACAAATATGAAATAAAATTATAAATACCGTCTTCGACCTAATAAGCGCCCGGGGAGCACGCAAAATTAGAAATAGGGGGCTTTTATTAGAATGTTATTTTGGTGAAAAATACAGAGTTAAATTTCGTGGTTTATGCTGACAGCCTGAAATGTTTATGTAC